GGAACGCGCCCCGCTGCTGGAGCAGCCGGCAACCCTGACTGCGATCGTTACCGCCCCCTTGGCGCCACACGCCATTTCCCAGCGCCCCGGGCAGTACTGCGGCTGCCTCTCCCCCCTGAGGCTACGGAAGGTAACCCGCAGGTTCCGTAACCGCCGCTCGGAGAGGTCGCTCGAAGCGAGGGCCTAGACACTGCACCGAGTCTTTCCCGCTAGTCAAGTGAGCGTTTGCACCTTCGCCCCAGGAAAAGTCGCAGTCGGGAAGAAACTGGTAATTAAAATCTCTGAGGAGAGTAAAGGCATTTCATACAGTTCTGCTGTATCAAAAAGCAGGATAATAGTGTTTTTCAGGGAGTCAGAGGTTTAGAGAGTATGTATGTACCCCTAATCTATTTCCTAACAGATTCTGATTACACACGAATTCATTAGAAAAGTCATTTGTCTCAGCATCAGCAAACAGAAGTGCTGGGATACTGCCTACATCTGTGGAGCACCTCTGACTCAAAAACTAATTTAAGTTCTTCACAACTCTCAAAGGCCTCAGAAAGAAGCAACTTACTTGCAGAGTGATTCAAGACCTAAAAATACTTCTGTGAAAAAAAAGGGATTTCAACTTTGTCATTAGATGTGCAGCAGAAGTCAGAGGTAAAGTGATGTGAACTCTGCAGGAGGAATGCATGTGAGGTTCATTTAAGCATGCACATCTGGCTAAATGGACAACTACATGGTGTTTTGGATTTGTCCATTTTTCACTAGTGACCTTTACAGTAACAACTGGCACTACCTAAAATATGATGTAACTATTTTGAGTTTTTACACTATTTCTTATACTTCAGCAGACACAGATCATGGAGGAAACCTAAAAGAACCAGACAGGTTTCTAGGTATGTTTATTAGACAAGGAATGCCACTGTACAAGTGGTAATCAGGGAACAAATGCCATTACGCGACCATTTTTTCAGTGAAAGCTTAGACCAGTTCATTATAAGCAAAGGCTGTTACTCCCTCCATTCTTTGGGAGTGACTCTGCCGACAGGTGACAAGCCCCACTCAATTCCAGCTTTTGTAAACACCTGCAGGAGGATAAAAATCAAGATTATTAACTCTGAAATCAAAGAAACCACCTGATAGAGGGCTACTTCTATTGTTTTCAGTTTAGATTTCTTGTATTAGAACATGACATTCATCTTCCAATAAAGCAAGTAGGATATATTTATATTGAATAATATTTAAGTAATTCAGTTTTCTATTTCAAAGTATCTTGCTTTAGAACAAAGAATCTGGAATGTAAAAACCCCATCACCATACTGTTATTTTAATCTAGAAATTTTGTGCTAAAAAGCTCTACCTGTATAGCTTAGAAATCCCAAGTAAAATAGAGAACACCTGTGTTTCTACTACATTTTAACATCAAGCAATAGGCTAACACAGAAATTTGTTTAACAACTCCAAAATATGAACTAATACAACTTTCATCTCTATCATAGCACTTATATAAAAAGCGCCTAAATTCTGACCACGTAAGTTATTTCAAACAAGTAAGCCATTGTGAAACTTAATAGCTCTAAACTTGCAAGCTATAGTCACAACAGAGTGGTGAAAAAATAGGATGACTTACATATCCCCAGACAGCAGTAAAAACTGTGGCTCCACCAAGAAGTACCAAGTTTCCATATTTATCATGGAAGTTAGGCTCATATTTGCCATGAGCTTGTCTTACTGCAGTATGCTGGATGCCACGAGCTAATGAACGTTAAAGAGAATTAGAAGTACAGAAATCAACTAAAACATACATTTGAACCATTCACAGTCCTCATCTCACATCAACAGAGGCAAGCGTAACCATTAAAAGACTTTATGAAAAGCTGAAAAAAAATTAATCTTTTGAACTTAGAGGTTTGGAATGATTTCAAAACATAGGATATACAGAAAACCTTGCATTTTGTTTCAGCTCTCCCAATTTCTCTCTAGAAAGTTATTCCTGAAGTCTAATTCCAGTAAGAAAACCCTTTAAGTTAGCTTTTTCATTAGCATGTTTTCTTTGGGCCCTCAGTGTGGAAGTTCAAGTACACTTTTAAGTATTACTATTTCTCTAATAAAATATTTTGTTTAGCACTTCAAAGTTTTGGATTTCTATATGTAAATATCTATACTGTCAGTGTACCCAATATAAGCATTTTCAGGATGGAGCTCACCATCAAATTACAGGGTTGATGATAGTGGGAATGGGTAACACTTTCTCATTCCTTCAAGATTTTTGAAGGGAGGAGAAGAAGGAAGTGGAAATAACTGTGGGCCTTCGCATGAGGTAAACAATAGAGACCAAAATATAGGAGGATATCTTCAGATAACAGAATGTATGTGCACGCTACAAATGTACACTATAAAAGGCACACTTATTAAGGAGAAGACAGAGCGAAGAATCAAGCCACCAGCTTCGAAACACAGAGATTGTTTACTAGTTGTGTACAAAGCATTTGATGAGACAGTGATCTGTGCATAAAGATAGACATTACAAAATATAATCTTTTAGTTTCAGGTCAATCATTCACATTTACCCAAACATGACCAGAAAAGATGCTAGCAATACCCATAATGCTACTACATCCCTAGCATGCTCTGTGAGGCTGCACAAGTCGGTGTTTAAAAAAAAACACAAAACAAAAGCTTGAATATCTACCGAGAGAAACATTGTTAAGCATGTTTATTTTACGTGCATGCACCTCGGGCTAAGCACATCATGAACCAAGACCAGATTTGAGAAAACTGGGCTAGGCACTGGGGAGTCTATCACTGAAAAGGTAACTTTACCCTTGAGTTTAAGGCCTGGCCATTGCCTACACCTGGCCACCTCAGGTTACACGACCTGGATGTGCCTTTAGTTACTGTCAAGACAAAAAAACACCGAGGAAGGGAGCCCAAGGTCAGCTCAAACAAAAGCAACTAGGAGATAAAAAAGGCAGAAGGAAGGAAAGAAAAAAAAAAGCAGTAGATGAAGGACGACGAGAGCGGTCCGCAGCCCCTCAGTTGCCCTCACGACCCTCCCCCGGGAACGAAGCGAGCCCAGGGACTGTTCGGGGCCAAGTCCTCACAGGGAAGGCAAGAAATCGGCGGGAGACCCCCTGACGAAACCCCCTACTCCCGAGAAACACCCCCAGCACTTCCATACTCCAGAGAGCCTCCCCTTTGCTTACCGGCGAGGTTCAGAGCAGCCCTAGCCACAGGGAACATGCTGACAAGCGGCCTACCACCCTACCGCCGGCGGGGCTCCGGTACCCTTGGCGAGGGGTGAAAAACAAAATGGTCGCGCCGGAAGTCACCCATACGCCGCGCCGCTGAGCGCAGCCCTGTGGGTAATGTAGCCGCACCTCCTCGCTACGGTTGAGGGAGAGCGGGAGAAGCTCCGTAACCGGGAGAGAAAGAGAGAGACAGAGGCGTCTCTCCAATTTACAGGCGCGGAAGCGCTCTCCGCAAAAAGCTGGGAAGACCGAGCGCGGCCATGAGGAAAGCAGTAAGAACGTCACGGCGCGGAGTGCAGTCGCAGTGTCAGGATGGCCGAGTGGTCTAAGGCGCCAGACTCAAGGCGTTCCGCGCCTTCCCGCGGCGGGCTGGGTATTCTGGTCTCCGTATGGAGGCGTGGGTTCGAATCCCACTTCTGACACCACTTTTTTTTTTTTCTTCTCTGTGAACTGAAATTCGTAAAAGGGCTGCAGAACTAAAACCAGATACTTTAGTGCCAGGAGAAATTGCAGCGAGGCCCGCGACGCCAGAAATAATTTCCATAGCGTACACGTCCTCGAATAGA